AAAAGCAGCTTTTATCTTTATGATATACTAAAAACAGCGGTAACGATACAATGACTGAAAGTTATTCCACTGATTGGAAACATTCCATTATTAAATACTAAAATTTTTATCGTCGAACTAAAACAAAGCGAAAAATTTTCTTTCCTATGTGAAATCACTTCAAAAATTCATCAAATCAAAAGTAATATCTGAGAAAGAAGATGAATATGGTTATTGTTGATCTAACAACAGTCAGTAGTTTTTGGTTGTGTTAGTTGTGGGTGGTGTGAAACGGGGACCAGTTTTGACAATTCGCATTATCATCATCTTTCACTATTCCATCCAACTACGAAGCCGTCCAGTGGTCATCAGTACAGATGTACGTTGTCAGTTTTGCTCATCTTTTCATAGAAACAATGAAAATCATATAATCGAATCGATAAACTTCACTACTCACCAGTATTCTCAGTTTTATCAAACTGTTCAAGTAATTTACCAATTATCCGAACGCCAATGAAAACGCCCTCGTCAAAGGAGATTCATTTTCGACTGTCTTTAGCTTGGTTTTTCATTTGCAATAGTTCGAACTGTTTCATTGTGTTTTGCAAAAATGGTTAGATCAACGTATCGATAAATGTGGAATTTGATAAAACATCCAAATAAGTTTTTTTTTCTCATTTTTTATATTTACTTCACAATAGTCAATTTAACTTTTCACAGGTGTTGTAGTCGCCACAACTAAGCGAGATACGGTTGATCAGTTCCAAAAATTCCTAATTTCAATGTGTATTGCTGTCATAAGGAAAGTAGTATCAGCGCTGTTTCACTGAAAAATTGAATTGCATCAGCATCAGTTCGTCTCGTATGGCTGCTTATCAACGTCAAATTCACACGACGTTGAAGATATCCATGAATAGCCAAGATCACAATCCATTCACTGTTTGGTCATTTGCGATATATATTCTGGTTTTGCGAGGGTATCGTTTGTTTTTTTTTTGCATTTTGCATCGTGCATGCAATAGCGATAGCCAGTAACCAACCGGTTGTATGCATAATAATAACCACTGAATTATGATGAGTGAAGTGATGTTTTATAATACATCACTCCATCTTTCGTTTGTATAATACAAACATGTATTGTTATACGCATAACAATATATGCTGTTGTCTATCTATCCAACAATAAACATTCATCTATAGCTATCAACTAACGATTTTCACTGATTTCTTTATTCAGATTGGCGATGTTTTAAAAATGCCTACAGCAATATTTGTTACGCGTACAACACATTTATGTGATGTAAAATGCATCACTCATAGTTTGTCTTCAATAGGACTTCAACCGAACGAAACAACTAGCGCGCTCTTGTCTAATCTTCGAAAATCTTGTTTTTATGCAATTCGCATTTTGAAGTGACTGATGATCGATAGATCGGCATTTGCCCACAACTTAGGCGTTTTTTAATTGTCGGTGATTGAAATCATGAGAAAATTTCAAGCATATTGCCAATTCAAAATTATGTTTTCGAGGCGAACGACTGCATAGAAACTTGAGCAAACATAATTAGTTAAAGCTTATTAAAATGGTGCTGATACGGAGAAACGAAGACGGTGAAAATAATATTTTCGAAAGTTTGAATGCGAGTTTTTCTTGTTTGCAACAGTAGGATCCTAATGCTGATGTGAAAATGTTTTCAGTGATCCATCTACAACTTCGAAATGCTTTAAATATTTTTGATCTGATCCTTGTGTTCTGCATCGTATTTGGTGCTGTTTTTCTTCTTGTGTTATGCGAATCCACAACATCTCTTCAAACCTTAAGAATATTCCTTGAATTTAACCTTATCAGCTTCGAATTTATTTTAATGAACAACATATTGTTCTTTCTTGAAATTTTCCACCGAACTTTTCTGAATTTCTCGTTTTGCGATTGCATGAATGCTGTTTTGAGATTGTCCTCAAATGTTTCAGTGTTTCCATTTCTTGATAATGAATGATTACGCACTGCTCTCTTGAGCAGTTGGCATCAGTTTTCTATTATTGCTCAGTTAGTGATCTGAAGCATTCTTTTTTTAACGAGATTTTTTGTGAACAATGAAGTAAATAGTCGTAAACGTGAAAATAATCATTTGATGGATGCGATTTTGTAAATGATTTTGGACTATGACACTCATTCATTAACTAGTGTCTTGTTCGATCTCTACTAATCCGAATATGATTCCACTTTTATTCAATTTCAATTATTCTCATAGACTTGTGCAACGCAACAAAAAAATAACGAAAATCACTGCATCTAGACGCTATTCTCTAATCACACATCACGATTAGCACTATTATTCATTTCTCATGCGTAATGTGAATTCCGCAAGATAGTTTATTAGTCTTACATTTTATTGGGGTCTTTTTAATGTGAATTTGATGCTACCATATAGGCTTCAGGTGACTTTGTTGAATAATTGAATTTTTATCCATTCTGATTGTCACTGACCTGTGTACCAGCTGCTTGTTTAGGATTAATTAACAAATGAAGTAGAGGTATTTTCGACGTTGTATCGCTGGATATGGTCCACGTCCTAATTAGTGCTTATAACTTGGAGCTGGATGGCTGTGGGAGATTTTTTCCGATACTGATTGCATCTGTTTCCAACTTGCTTTTTCATAATCTCAACAGCCTGCTCAGTTATCCTCACTTATCATCATGTATCAGTAACGTTTGCAGTTCGGATTTTAAATGCTATGAACATCACTGCAAAAATCAAACGATCTTCTGTGCCCAATCGCATTGTGTGACATTTTCATCACATGCAATATAAGATTGTAAATATAGTTCGATAAGATTGCAAGATTGTAATTTTGAACAATTTGGAAACACCGTATCGATGGTTTCTACTCGAATAATTTGAGTGAATTATCGCCAAATCAGCAGAGTTCATTAAAAGACTAGATAATATTTGCAATCTTATATTGCATGTAAAAATTTATGCCACTAACTGTAATGCGATTTCATTGTATGCATATATTCAGAAAGTTTTAGAGCAAACAAGGATTCACGACTTCAGTAATAGAGTCACGAATATGAACAAGTTTTTGAGATGAGTTTTTCATTTTAGATCAATTGCGAGAAGAAAATCATTTGTTTTACTGCCTGAGGAAAGTCCTCGATGTTCACACCTTTCTACTTCAGAAGCGAAATTTCAGATTCCAGCAAAAAAAACATGAAACGTTATCAATCACAATTAATAGCTAAGAAATAGTTCTTAACTTCTTTGTAGAATGATATTGATAAGTAGAACAAAGTTCGTCACTAGTCACTATCTTACGGAGTAATTCAACTAAAAAATTTGGATATTGTTTTTGGGAAATGATCTATGGATTGATTTGGCAATGGATGTGAGTTTGAAGAAAAGTTCAGTTTTGGTGATGTGATTAATTGATTCGTAGCATCATTTACTGAGTGTTATGAATACAAATTTGTATTACGTTGTGCAACTGGCTGTGCACAGAATTGATTACAGTTCGACTTCCCTTGACCGTGACACAATTCTTAGTTAATGCCACTTCTATTTCAGCAGTCATCATTTCTAGTGGTCGTGTGTGCAACCTTTCACGCTTTGCATGCCATTAACTTTATTGCGTACCGCTAAAAACTGAGTTTGATCTATTATCAGTTGATTTTGTTGAATCGATTGTTGCTCGTTTTTTTGAATTCCAGTGTTTATTGATATAAGTGTATGGAACGTATCAAATCAAGTTATTTTGAATAATTGATGACTGAATTGATGAAAAATACAACTTGCGAAAATCTTTTATTGTTAGAGGTCTCTGATTAGTCTACAGATCGTGAGGTTTTCAAATTTTCATTATCATATTTAAATCTGTTTAAGTGGAGTAAAATATACTGTAGTGTATTTCATTACCAATGTTCTGCCTCATAGAAATCGGTCTGATAAACTTCATTCGAATGACGGTTACGTTAGCAGTTCCAGTCGATGTCTGTCTCACCGAGCAGTATTTGAATGCTCAATTTTATACGTCGAAACCTATATCAATCCTCTTTTGAATTTATTTCCTCGTCATTTTTGCTGTGTCTTGCATCTGGTATTTCGATGGGCAAAAGAACCATCGCTAATTTTGCAGTGATCAACGAATTCTCAGCAAGAATCAAACTCTAACGATTTGTCTATCTTGTGAACTACTTCTGTGGAAGTATGCATTTACTAGATCATAAACAGGGAACAAAAAATATAAACTTCTATTATTGGCGATTTTCTTTGAGAAAGAATGAATATCACAAGACTGTTGTTCATCAGTTCCTCCACTATCTCAGTGTTGAGACTCTCATCTGCGCAAACGCTAAACGCAGATGCTAGCAAAAGTGTACGCTATGAAGCGTCAAATTACAAATTTCAGCTTGCCCGCACTGTATCTTATTTTTAGCAAAATACGTTAATAAATTACTGGAAGAAATTTTTAAAGCCATTCTTCATTTGAGTGATCCAAAACTTAACGCATTATTTGACAGTCAGCAAACCAAATTGACAATTCACGATCTTATTAAAAGTCTTATTATTATTGATGCTATATGTCAATAATCACCTGTGCTCAAGTCATTCGAATAGATTTCGTCCAAATTATCACGCTGTTCATATATCTCCCCGATTTGTTTCATGATCATTGAATAAATGGAATTTGAAACATAGTGAAAAAACTACTTGAATTGCATTCGTGCGAATGAACTTTGTTCGTTTCGTTCTGTGCAATGTGAACCATTTTCGTAGGGTTCAATTGATGCTCAGCACCGATAGAATGTCGTGTAGCAATCGCATATTGCTAGATAAAACCTCATTAGGCTAAACCAATGCGTGCAAAATAATCGTTCCTTCTTTCCTCTTCATGACAAACGTATTCACATTCGCTTTCTCGATGTCGTTTGAAACTGAATTCGCGATCGTTGTTAAGCTAAAACGCTGTTTTGAAGAGGTTGAATAGCTGTAAGCAATCATAAAATATCGCTCTCAGATATGGGTGAAGATTTGGAGCATTGTCCATCACGAGCACATTCCCATCCAACAACAACTCATCAGAATCAGTTACCACATACTAAAGTCACCACAGTTCCACGACCATCCCCGGCCCATACAACATCCTCTACCATACCGCATCGTAATACCGCTGCTTCAACGTCAAACCCAACTGAAATCGGTAATTCATCGTCATCATCTAGTGCGGGTAGTTCACCGGTTAATGATGAATTCAATCATACTAATTATGGTTTGTGCTTCACATCATTATTAAATTTTAGCTTGAAACGTCAGTCAATAAAATGTTTTGTGGTATCATTACTTTTGTCATGAGCATTGTTTTTGCAAGATTAATCGAAAACTGCGATGCACTGTTTTTTTTTTCAAAATAAAAAGTCTGCGTTAGCGCTTTCTACTGAATGCTTATGTTGCTGTGACTTATCCAGCATATGCTGATTTTTTGAATGTGTATTTGTGAAATTATTCTGGTGAAGAGAAGTAAATTCAGGATCGCTGCATCAAACGAACCGCTCAGGAATGCATGGAATGAGCGAGTGGGATTGGACGAGTATGTCTGAGCATAATTTCGCTGAACTTTGTGTATTTCATGTGCCCGACAAGCCTGCAGAGCATCAGGTTCCGTAAAATATTTTGTTGAACATCGATCCACTAGAAAATATGACATGCTTTCGCTCAGGCACACCAAGATGGATAGTTAACAAAATTGCTCATTTCATGAATTTTTTCTTTGCATAAACTATTTCTTGCTACATTTAAAATGAATATTTGATTCACGACCTCTGTACTGGTTCTTTCATTGTAGTGAAATGTTATTGCTGTTTTCATAAGTAAATCAACACAGGTTTACATCCGTTCAGCCATAAGTTCTCTTTCTAAGTTAATGCATCCAAACGGATTTGTTGATGGTCTTATCCAGGGGTGTTGTAACTTTAACCATGGTGACTCTGTGTCAATTGCTACAAAATATCCAGTGCAATTCAACTCAATAAATTTGTTAAACAATTAGCAGAACACTTTTCTTCAGAAGTACTTTGAACTGAACGAATCTGAAATCATTTCGCGAAGAGCGATTTTCCCAGTGGATAATACTAAATCCGTAATTTGATATGAACAGATTGTATTCATATTCATCATTTTCCCATCCATACCGTTAAATGCTCTCTAATCGTGCTCATGTGCTTAGGATCAATTTCATTTAAAAGATTTGAAAGGGTTTCAGTTCAACAGTATCATGAGAAAATAGTAGTCTGCTTCAATTTCTGAAAATCAAATCTTTTGATGATCGACAAATATCAACCGTTAAACTTCTATTTTAGGACCCAAACAATCGTTCGGCAACCTCATTACCATTGAACCTCACCATTCGTTCTTCACAAGAAATCTCGAAGGTAATCATACGCCTTGATCAATTGTGCATTATTGTTTGAACCGATCACTCATAATCAATGATATAGATACTTTAATTTTTAAATTTGCCGTTATGTGACTGATGAATAAATTGCTGCGTATGTCTATTTCATTCACCTTACCTTATGTTTTGTCAAGAATTGTTAATTTATCGCTAAGTCAAATATGAGAAAAAGTGAAGTGGAAGAAATTATCTCGCAATAAAGACTAACAAATAATTCATTCATGCTTTTTCTTTCCCATATCACATCTTGAGAGGAGCACAGACATCTTCTAAAGGTTCAATGTATCAACCGTGAACGACGATAATTCATGAGCTTAATGCTACGCACATTTTACCGTTTCCTCCTTTAAAATTTCCAGTGCATTCGTATTGAATTTTGCAATTTTCGCATCCGACCACCCTTGTAGTTGGTCAGTTGAGCATTGCGAATGTGATCATTTTATTCGTTGCCTACGGTATCCCCGTCCAGTTCTACACATAAGAAACTGTGAAGCTGGATCCATGCAATTCATAATAATTGAAAATGGGACGCCTATTACCGCGAAATATACCTCTACGGTGCACATCGTTCTGGTTTTATGATGCTTTCCTTCAATTTAGCAATTCTAAACTTTCATTCAATTTAGTAATTCAAAATCTCAACTACAAACGCGGATATCGAATTTCATAAAGTCACTATTAACAGAGTCACCTTACTCAAGTCACTGCAACACAAAGCATCTACAAAATATTCAAGATTGACCATCATTGCAAGTGATTAAAAAGTGATTTTCATGTGAAAACAACTGAATTTTTAGAGAATGGGCGTTTGGAGTATGGATTATATACCGCGTGGAGTGCGGTTTGGACCCTTGATTGGTGAATATCGTAAGCCAGATATCACAGAAGCTACCGTATGCCCTGCGGAAGCTAGTGGTGCAGGCGTGCCATCTGGTGGGCATGCCCATATGAGTGGATTGGGAAACGCCCAGTCGGAATCAACTACGTTTCAACGTGACTATATTTGGAAGGTGTTCAGCAGTAGTGGAAGCATACTTGTAAAAATGATCGATGTCAAGAGTGACAGGAAGAGCAATTGGATGAAGTACGTGAATCCAGCTAAATCAAAGGATTCTCAAAACCTGGTTGCTTGTCAGGTGTGTTATTGAGCATGCCAGCATTACCTCCTTTACATCCTTTATCATGCACAACAATCCAAACGGTGCTAGCTTATTTATACCATTAAATCCTCCAGCACCACATCACCTCAAACTCCTTCATGATTTGTTTCTTGGAACAATCTGATGTTCGTTTATTCATGAAGAAATTCGAATCAATTGCTGAACAAACTTTAATTTAGATGGACCTCAAAACCGAACTTTCTGTTGCTCATGAATATTTTGTTTAGGTGGAAAATGAGATTTATTTCTATTCGGTTAAACCAATCAAGCCGAATACAGAATTATTATATTGGTACAGTCGCGATTACGCACAACGAATCAACTGTCCAGCGTCATGTGAATATTGGACCACTTCTAAGAGTTCGTTTCCATTGCTATACAATCAATAATAGCAGTACTGCAAAGAACGTTATTATTGTACTTGTCATCATCGGTTTTATTTTTTTGGCGATCAAAAGAATTATCATTATGACTAGAGGAATTATAAAGGTTTGCTTGAAAGTGAATAAAATGCAGTAGGGAGAGCAAGTGGATGAGTTGGACGCTCGCTCGTTAAGACATATTTTACGTGGATGATGAAACCAAATTGCGATTTAAAACAATCATATGTTTTGATGTAATTTAAAATTTCTTGATCTGATAATGAGTTCAGTGAATTCAGCAATGAGATGTACTGATGCACCAACTGGCTCAAACTCAAATCGAATGAAAACGGATGATGGAAAGCAACCAATGTCACCACAAGAAGCGCTCGATTTTTCACTTAAAAAACCACTCGAAGTATTCTGTTGTTCCTTTTACCAAGCTTATTCACAAAAGAATCCAAATGCTCTTGATATATTCCTCTTCATCATCAGTTATTCAGTCAAATCCACATTGTCTCACCCGATAATAATTATCAGAAATGTAACATGAAACTTCAGGTTGGGTTGGAAACACCGAGAAAAAATTTGGCCGATGCAACATCGCCAGTTCTATCATCTTCAGTCAGCGATGTGACCCCTTTGTTGAGTGATGATTGTGCATCCAGTATTAACTCGTCATCCTCAACGCTCGCCTTCGAGTATGATCCACTAACAAATTCATGATTTATATCATTCGATGAACTTTTCTGCTGATACGCGTTATGCACTGCCTGCCAGTTAGAGGAATAAATGTTAACAAGCATCACTTTCGAGGAAATAGTTGATTTGTTTTGCAGATCGTCTCCGACATCACCACCGCTTGCCGATGAACCTATCACACGGCCAAATGTTATTCAAAATCCAGTACACCGACCAGTTCCCACTAAATTGGCACAATCAAGTTTGCCACAAATAGCGCAGCCAATAGCACAGCTACCAACTAATCCTATCAATCCTTACAATTCTCTACTACACGAATTTTGGCGAAGAAGTTCCGCTTTAAGTCAGTGAATTAACGATTATTTAATCATTATTTGCTTTGTACTCAGTTGCGTTTTGTTGTACTGATCATTGATGAATTTTGAAAAAAAAAACAACTCTCACAGCGAATTTAAAAAATGAATCAGTTTCACCGTTGCTGTTATCATTTGAGCGGCAGACAAACTGTTTTCTCGTCAACAGTTTCTGCAATCAGTATGCTAATTAGTCGTCAAAATGAGTGTAAAGAAGGTTTGTTATTTGTGTGGTGCGTCCCTTTTCGAAAGTATCTGATGAAGCAGTCTAGGGATTACATGTATTTGATTACACAGGTGTAAATGCTGGTGGAATTTGGGTACCACCACAACCAAATCATGGCGTAGCAGCAACACCACATCCTTCACGTCCACGTTCTCCGGGACAAGCAAGCGCATGCTCACCATCGCCAGCATTCGCCGCAACAGCAAGTCCTCCTTTCGGAACAACCTTTACTACCTCACTCTACTCATCCACAACACCTACAAAGCAGTCGTTCTTTGCCACCCAGCCTCAACCACTCCTTCCAATCCATATCCATCCACCTCCTATTGCCACTTCACCAACCGCTTTTCAAGCAGCTGCATCCACTACTTCTGTTTCAGTTCGAACGCATCAGTCATATCCAATCCAAAAAGTAAATTTATCTTCATCAATTTGATCTTAGTTAAACATTCGTCTTTCAACTCTCTCACCACGTTATGTCTAGCTGAGCCTTCATTCACATATATCACTTACTGGTTAACAGCATCTGACAGTCTAATTCAGATGAACCTTTAGGTGATTTTTTTTCCATAAAAACACTCACCTTCCAGTATCTGCAGTCTCAAGTAAATGGAAAAACACGGTATGAGTGCAAAGAATGCAGCAAGACATTTGGACAACTCTCCAATTTAAAAGTGCATCTCAGAACACACACCGGTGAACGACCGTTCAAATGCAATGTCTGTCTCAAGGAATTTACTCAATTAGCACATCTTCAAAAACATCATCTCGTTCATACAGGTATCGCATAAATTACCTTCGGACGGCCTCGGCCCCTATTGATTTTTTGTGGCATTTTACTTTGTTTTTACTAGCCTTAATTTTCTTCATTTACTCAGAATTCGAAAAGCTTCAGTCCATTCGAAGTACGCATCCAGAATTCGACATGCATCCAAAATAGTTCGAGCGTTTTCGTGTAAGTTTATGATAATGAAATTGCAGGTGAAAAGCCACATCAATGTGAAGTGTGTCAAAAACGTTTCAGCAGTACATCAAATTTGAAAACGCATCTTCGTTTACACAATGGACAAAAGCCATATCCATGTGATCTGTGCAGTGCCAAATTCACACAATTCGTTCATCTTAAACTTCATAAACGCTTACACACTAATGAACGACCGTACAATTGCTCATGCTGTGGCAAGAAGTATATTTCGCCATCTGGTTTAAGAACTCATTGGAAGTCAACGTCGTGCCGTCCGGTTGGTTTGGATATTCATGTGATGGAAATGGAAAGAGATGATGTGTCAGCGTTGCGTGATGAGCATTGTGTAACTAGTACAACACCTGTGTCACGATAATAACATTTATTCTTTAGGTGTTATAATGATGCTATTTGTATCTTATTATTATTACGTTACGTTTTATTACACTTCATTTTGGTGAGATATTTTTATGTGCATAAGTTTAAGGCCACCGTCAGGCTGAATTTATTTTCATTAGGAATTGATGTATTATTTAAAATTTTAATGTTGAAAAGGCGAAAAGAAGTAAGCTTTTCATACAAATTTGCACGTTATTGCGTTCATAACGCAATTCAGTCAGAAAGCTTGGAGAATAGGCGCCATCAGTAATTAAATCGCCATCTTGAGCTCTAATTAACAAGAACTTCGAGTAAAAATTGATCTAGCTCTTCATCTCGAATGTCAAAAATTCGTCATAAAATAGCATCTAAATTTTTATGGATCAATACTATTGATTTTCCAGTGGTTATAATTTTAGAATAATTCTAAATGCATATCTTATTTCATTTTGATGAGTTGATGAGCATGTCAACCAAAATTTCAATATTTATTTTTCTTCGTTCTTTCCTCTGGTTTTACCAAAGAAAATGGTGGCTTATCTAGGACATTTTCAACGTTAAACTACTCAAAACATAACAAGGAAAGAGCCTGTATATGGTCAGCTCAGAAGAGTTTGAGTTGTCGATTATTCATAAAATTTGAGAACAGCGTTACTGAAAATATTGAAGTTTTGCGATGAGCTGATGCTTGGAATGGTGCGACAGACGATTCCATTCAAATCAAACTGTGAGTTGTAAAGCAGAAGAACTATACAACTAGTGTATTTGAGTGTGTTCATTGCGAATGAATTTAATTTTAACAACGCACTAAAATGATCTCAGTGACTCATTGTTTTTGTTGTTCAAAAAATGCTCGTTTAAAATGAATTAATTTTAGAGAAATCTTCAGTCCAGCTGTCCTAAATCGAAAATTATTTAAATCAGCTAAACCCTAAACACTGTAACGTTTTGAATCAAGATGAAATTCATTAATTCATAATATAGGATCATTTTCATGCAGTAGTTTTGAGCTTCCATTTTCGATTAAAATCAAAAATTTCCATTCAGTAATCATTGGAATGTTTTGTCCGAATTTATGCGGAAAATTTATCAGAACCATTCGCACTTCACAAAATGAGCAGATCTCCTTCGTAATCGATGTCCTGTATTGCCGCCTACTATAATTGTGTATATTATTCGTGGATAATTAATTTCGGATCATTTTCGTATTATACTGTTTATTACCATGTATTGATTGTCATTTGTCAAATGATTGGTAACATCGGTTTATTATTGATATGATTGATGTGATATTATTAATAATAAGTTTAACAACATCTGCATTTCATTTGTTCATTTCACTGTTATTGTGGCAAGTAAAAAAACATGGGAATATTACGCAGAATTTCGAAGTAATTATGTTCAAATGCATTGAAGCATTTCTCGTTTAACAAAGCGAATCGTTTCGGGAATTTTAAGCAAGTTCTCTTTTAATGAGTGTTTTTTGTACCGTTCGACGAATCACCTAGTTTTTGATTGGTCGAAAGTTTCTGAAGAATGAATGAAATCAAGTCTTCGTTTCTTTGAGCAAGATTTTCGAACCTGATCTATGAAAGACAACACCAATTACGAGTTTTTAAGGGATTTCAAAAATCGTTTGAAATGAAACTTCAAATGATCAAACTCCCTGATTAGATCACTGAATCAATAACAATAAATGCACAATTTCTCAAAAGCAATGCTTCATTAGAGTGAATCAACGTGATGTTTGCTGTTGAACTGCAATACTCCTGAGATCATCAATGACCAAACCAATAAGCGATTTATCGTTATCATTCAGCAAATAGCATTGCATTTCGTTCAAAATGTTTTTTCTCCTGGAATATCAAAAAGACGCGTTTGTGATAGAGTATAGAATATGCCAACCAATAACAGATATGTTGTAACTGTTGCGCTTACAATTTGCTAGCCACTGCAGTGAGATTTATTTTACTGTCACAACGGCTGCACAAAAATTAACCGCTATTCATCGAACTTAACGAAATATCTTCTTTTAAGAACTTCTTTTGAATGTTTCTCAGTTCAGTGAGCAAACTTGTATATCTGAACAAAGCATGCATATTGGAATCGAGCAACTGCGAAAAACAAACCTATAATAATCAATCAATTCCGAGGTCGACAACTGTTGTCTTTTACGTATGTTGTATAAAATTTGTCGAATTGGTTGCGCAAGTATTACTCGGATATAAAGCTTTGATCTCCATCTAACAAAATGTCGTATTGCAAGCATTACGAAACACCAAAAAATTGCATGAAATATCAATAAAGTAAGAACAGAAACCATACGTTCGCTGAAATTTTGCACATATTCAAAATGATTTTTAAATAACAAAATTGCAAAATTAATAATTTGTTTTGTATGCTTGAGGTGATCGTAAAGGATCGCAGAAGGAATACATACAGCATTACTTTATCATCAATAACTTTATTGACAAACCTTTTAGCGCTTCCTATGTTCAGTAAAGTGACTGTGAAAGAATATGCATAATTTGAGGTGTATGACCGTGAAAGAATAAGAAAAAACGTTCGAGCAGCGATCAGCATAATCCAACTCATCAATAAACACAATTGCCATTCAAGTGGCAGTTTATAAAGTATGAATGACAACACCCACATACAATAGTAATACAGACATATTCCGAATGGGCTCCAGAGAATCACCAGGAGGCGACCATTGTTGCTAAGTGGCATCCGCACACAACCTCAAACTAGAGGCTAACACTCAAAGTTGAATGAAATTTCGATTTTACGCTTTTTCATTGCTTCATTATTCACGCACACATATCTACCCGGTTTGAAATCAGCATATTGCATTAATCCATGAATTCAGCGAACTATTAAAGCACCATATTCCTGATGATGAGGATATTCACAGCTACATTCATCCACAAAGAGTGTCAATGAAATTTTACTATTATTATCACTTTTATTATTCAATAATTACCCTGCATAAAAAATTATGCGAAGATGAAAGTGCCATTTACTGGGGCAGTTTGTGTAATGTGTTTCCGGGGAAGAAAAAAAGTCTGGAACGGGAAAAGTCGAGACCAAATTTTGCAATCGGAGTCCTCGAAAATGCGACCGCCATCAAAAATGTCGGGGACAGCGCCCCAAAATTCTCCATTCTCGCAACACACTAGCGTAGAGACTGGAAATGAACTTTCTTTTTTCAACGCCATCTACAGTTTTTTGCAAATCACCCCGATTTGTATGGAAATGCTCTGAGTTTTAGCCTTTTCTCTGTCCAACAGTGGAAATGTCAAAGAGTTGGCAACATTGCNAATGTCGGGGACAGCGCCCCAAAATTCTCCATTCTCGCAACACACTAGCGTAGAGACTGGAAATGAACTTTCTTTTTTCAACGCTATGTACAGTTTTTTTGCAAATCACCCCGATTTTTATGGAAATGGTCTGAGTTTTAGCCTTTTCTCTGTCCAACAGTGGAAATGTCAAAGAGTTGGCAACATTGCGCTCTAAGGTACTCATCTACGTAGAATCTGTTCGTTCACATCAACCGCAGTAATGGTACTGCTGAATTACTGGTCGGAAAACTGTTAGGCAGAAATCGAGACGAAATTTCGGTTCGATCGGAACTCCACTTTTCATAATTCCCTAATTCGGCATTCCGACTGAACTTCGAAATTCCTCCGTCGGCATCCAACTAAATTCACACTCCTAGATTCCGAAATTCAGTATTTCAATCGAACTTCTCTCGGTTACTATTGATATACTACAAGAAACGCTTTTCGAGGCAAGCAATGCCCGCCCCACCTCTGCCTCTGACCAGCAATTCCTAAATTATTTGCTCTCATTTTCTGTGTTCTCTTCGAAACCAATACCCATCTCATTTGAACCAAACTCTCTCATGCTTCTCTTCATTGTTCTTACCACTTTCGAACAGTGCACGTTTTAGTCGTGTCAAAGAATCAGTAGACAAATTGATCGCGTATTTCGTTGCTTTTCGCATCAGATCGACGAAACTCTGCTTATACCTTTGGATTCTTCTTTTTTTCAGATTGTATTGGATCGAAAAGCAAAATTTTCTTCAGGTTGCAGTAGTCAACTTTTTCATGCACTGAAATTCATGCCTACTGTCCATTTTACGGTCTTTGACAGTTGTTCGCAAGAAATGTAAATGGCGTTGAAAAATGGTTCACTTCCGAATTCCATGTAAAAAAAAACTGCCCCAGAATATAACATTCGCATCTTTGCATAATTCGTTTTTTACATATCGTTAGTATTTACTATTAACAGCTTCATTATTATTATTATTATTACTGAGACGATAATATGGCATATGGTTTTTTGAACATTAATTGAAATTTTGATTGTTCCTGTATGGTTTGGGTTAATATTTTTGAATATGCTGTTTGTGTTGTAATATCAGTGTGAACATAAGTTTGGATATCAAGTTTTTGCAAATATAAACAGGTAGGGTGCACTCGTTCACTGCGAAGAGCAGAAAAGAAACGAGTGAAACATTGGTGGAATGAACAGCTGTGAAGGATTGGTAATCACCTGGTATATTCCCAACAGTTGTAAAAAGTGAAACAATGAAGAGAAATGAATTCGAAAGTTTCCATACACGAGTGGATGAAGAGAACACTTCATCTTCATATCGTTCAATGAGATAGTTTGCAGATTCATCCCATTCTTTGCTTGAGACTGGCTGAATTGAAATGCTTTCTCAGTTATCAATTCCATGTTAGCGATATTACTCAAAAAAAAAATTTGATCACTTCGAAAGTTTGAGTGTTTCGATGAACATCCAAAAAATACTATTGTGGAAGAGAACATTGAAAATGAAACGCAATCAATTAGCGATTAAACTTACAATGTGATAATGGAATCGTGCGAATCGGATTAAGAATTTCAGACGTCTTTCATCAGAAGCGTTCGAGCTCCCTAGATTATGCTCATTCTGCACGAAAAACTCCGCTGCCAACAAAGTGATCGAAGCGAAGAGCCAAAAGAACGTTAAGAGTACAGTTAAATATAACGGTCGAAAACACGGCACAGCTCGTTGTGTTAGGCAAATCTGAAGGTATGACACTTTCATGCATTCCACCTATCATTGAAACCATTAGCGTAATGATGAATGTGAGTGAGTTGTGAAGTAGAACGTTGAAAGCGATAAAAGAACTGATAAAATAAATCGTAAGAAAACGACAAACACTATCAATGAAACGGCAATAGTTACTGAATACAGCATGCTATCTAATAAGCAAACTGATCTATAAGTAATGCGGTAAAATTATTCGATCTTTATAGTTTCATCATCAAAACAATGACAGAATCTGTCTCTGATTTCATCGCATCCAATTTGCACGTATTATCTTTGTTTAATAAACTCTCAAGATTAACGATAAAATCGATATTTGATACTGTAAATGTGGTCACTTCGTCCAATTGAAAGTGTAAATTTCAACCAAATGGGAAAAGTTTACGGTGGGGTCATGAGATCAATGAGTTTATCAAATACGAATGAAGCAATGTTCTGCGCTCCAAATAATGAAAGGGTCAAGGAATGTGATAGAATGATACATAATATATGGTTTAAAATGAATGAAAGCAGATAAGAATAATTTTAAAAAACCTGGTCAAATTGATTAGCGAGATTTTCACAAGTCGGCGATGGAGTTCGTGAATTGAAAAGTGATATTTGATCGACATGCTCTTCGGCCAATCGCATTGCGGCTGATGATCGTGGCAAATCTATCCGGGAATACTGCGAGTCGAACAAACCCGAATAACGACGAATAAACATCATTCAAGGTGCAAATACTGCGACGGGTATAGAATGAAATTGTTTAATGGAGGTTGTCATTTAAAAAAATTTCCGTTTCCAGTTAATCGCTGCTCACAAAACAGAACCATTCATTGATCATTGTCAAACAGTAACTATTCACCTAAACTAATTGTCAACAGTTCTGAAATTCATTACCATAATTCATAATCACACTCCATTCAATACGGTAACATTATTGACGCAAGAATGACAATCTTTCAACAAGAAGCGATAGCGCACGAAGTTGCTCAAATTCGTAAACATGCGATTTTAACAGCCATCAGTCAATGGTACGATTCGTTCGAGGTGAAACGAGATTACATTTGGGACTGCAAAAAGTGAATCTTTTTTTTGGTTAGGTGAACGGCACCCTCAGTGACTGACTAGCGAGTAACAGCTGACATCATTTAGGCAACAGAATTCAACTAAACCCTTAACGTGGTGGACGTCCATCTGTAAATCGTTCAATCAAACTTATACTTCACAATTATCGCTACATTAACCAACTATCATACATTTTACAAAGTGGATGATTCCAATGCGTTTACTCCTCTCTAACAGCGCTGAAACAAAGAAAACAAATTTGTCATCTATAACGGGTGAACAGATCGCCATAAATCTTTTTGTTCACCAATAATGTCACATTGTTGCGATGAAATCTCAGATACGCAATATAGTAAAGATGAAGACTGCCAACAAAAAATTACTCAGCTAAAATTTTTGTAAGACTTTGTAAGGTTGCTTAACACGTAATCTTATCGACTGAACATAAATGTTA